AGATAGTTTCCAAGGAAGGTTTTGACATAAAAATTCTGAAAAAGGTATGTTTTCTCTCTTCGTTTAGAAAATACTGTGGGGAAGACACTTTCAGAAACGATGATTTTACATAATTTTCATCTACTCGGAGGTGGTTTCCAGGGTGAGTTTTGAGATACAAATTCTGGAACAGGGTAGTTACCTATGTTTTCTCTGTTCGTGTTGATGATATTGTGGAAAAGAAATTTTCAGAAACGATTATTTCACATAATTTTACGTAATTTTCATCTATTCGGGGGTGGTTTCCAGGGTGAGTTTTGAGATACAAATTCTGAAACAGGATAGGTATGTTTTCTTCCTTCGTTTTGAATATATTGTCAGAGATGAATTTTCTGAAACGATTATTTCACATAATTTTACGTAATTTTCATCTATTCGGGGGTCGTTTCAAGGGTGAGTTTTGAGATACAATTTCTGTTCGTTCTGATAATATTGTGAGAAAGAAATTTTCAGAAACGATTATTTCACATAGTTTTACGTAATTTTCATCTATTCGGGGGTGGTTTCCAGGGTGAGTTTTGAGATACAAATTCTGAAACAGGGTAGGTATGTTTCCGCTCTTCGTTTTGAATATATTGTCAGAAAGAAATTCTCAGAAACGATAATTTTAGATAATTTTCATCTATTCGGGGGTGTTTTCCAGGGTGAATTTTGGGATACAAATTCTGAAACAGGGTAGGTATGTTTTCACTGTTCGTTCTGATAATATTGTGAGAAAGAAATTCTCAGAAACGATTATTTCATATAATTTTACGTAAATTTCATCTATTCGGGGGTGGTTTCCAGGGTGAGTTTTGAGATACAAATTCTGAAACAGGGTAGGTATATTTTCTCTGTTCGTTTTGATGATATTGTGATAAAGAAATGTTCAGAAACGATTATTTTACATAATTTTTTCGTAATTTTCATCTATTCGGGGGTGGTTTCCAGGGTGAGTTTTGTGATACAAATTCTGAAACAGAGTAGGTATGTGTTCTCTTTTCGTTTTGAATATATTTCGAGAAAGAAATTGCCAGAAACGAATATTTTACATAATTTTCATCTATTCGGGGGTGGTTTCCAGGGTGAGTTTTGAGAAACATTATTGAAACAGGGTAGGTATGTTTCTCTCATTCATTTTGAATATCCTGTTGAATATAAATCTCCAAAAACGATGAGTTAATTTGGTTTTGATTAGTTCTGAAGATATTCATCTATATATAGGGGTAGTAGCACCCTATTAGTGTGTATACCCCAATTCATCATTATAATCATCATATTGACGCAAAACATCTGGATCGCAATGGCTTCAGTCGAAATCTGAATGTTAAAACGGAAGAATCGATCTGATAACATTTTACACCTGTGCGCATATACTATTATTTCGTTTCCGATACGGCGACCGTTTCTATTTTATTTTTATTTTTTTATTTTATTGATAAAATACATCCAACAGGTCATAAGACCCAATTACAGGAGTACATAATACAAAATGAAAAGCTTATAGTAGTCCTGAAAAACAAAAATTAAAACATAAAAACGAAATCTATATTAGTAATATATACCATGTAACATTATAACATATAAGTATCAGTTTCAATCAGTTATGTAGTGCATTATATAATGCTTTCCTAAACTGAGATAAGGGTAAGAAAAATATATCGATATTTTGTAGACTATTGTAGCTTCTACACATAGAAGTTAAAGGACAGTGAAAGTGGTGTTGAGAGTTAGGTACGTCAATGTGAAATGTTATGTGTGACCTGGAAGTTATACGAGGAACATTAAAATTCAATGATGAAAGTAAAGTAGAAGAGTCGATTTGATTATGTATGATTTTGTACATAAAAATCAAGTCGTTAATTTGGCGGTAATTCTTGCCAATGATATATTATCCAATTTGTAGTCATATATTTGTACTGAGGATTTCCTTGCGAAAGTCATAATTTTACATTTACCTATATTTAATGATAGTTCATTTTTCTGACACCAATTATGTAACTCAGTGATATCGTTTTGTAATGAGATACAATCAGAGTAGTCCTCAATCTCCATGAAAATCTTCATATCATCAGCAAAAAGTAGTTTTCTAGAGTTGATACTATCAGAAATGTCATTAACGAACAGAAGGAATAATAGTGGACCCCACACCGGTGGGGTTTTATACCAAAGATGAGTCTAATAATTCTTTTTTGAAGTATAAATATACGATTTATGTCGACTGCTGAACCCCAGAAGATTATTAAGTATTTCAAATGTGGATACACTAAAGAGTAATAAGTACTCATCAATTGTTTTTGGGACAAAATTGATTTTAAATTACGTATTGCAAAATATGCTGAACTCAACTTTTTGGAGACATGTTTGATATGTTCTGACCATGAAAGGTTGCGGTCTACAAAAAGACCCAGGAATTTGGTTGAATCAGTCTCTTCAAGAGTTTTATTATTAAGGACAATCTTAATATTTTGGGTCTGTCGTCTGAGTTGAAACGATATATATTTTGTTTTGGATTCGTTGATAATGAGTTTGTTGCAACAACACCATTTATAAAATTGATCAAGTAAATTGTTGGCCTTCCACTGAACTTCATCACATGATTCTCCTGTTACACTTATAGTTGTGTCATCAGCAAACATGACAAGGTTAAGATCTTGTGGCAAGTGGTATTCAAGATCATTAATGAAAATCAGAAAGAGAACGGGTGACAGGACGCTTCCTTGGGGTACGCCTAAGTTTATTTTTTCTGTTGTGGATTTCATATTGCCCACTTTCACTATAATTTGCCTATCTGATAGAAACGATTCAATCCATTTATTCAAAGGTTCACGAACACCCATACACGATAGTTTATTTACTAGATTTCCTTTGTCGACACAGTCGAAAGCACGTGTTGAGTCAAAAAAAATTGTCAAGACATGTTTTCCTTGGTCAATTGTCTCATAAATATTTTGGAAGAGGCTGAAGGCAGCTGTATTTGTGGAGAAATTTGGCCTGAAACCATGCTGTTTAGCTGATAGTAGTCGGAATTCATACAAAAATATTGTTATTCTTTTTTGTACTAATTTCTCGAACAGTTTTGAAAAACATGAGAGAATCATAATGGGTCGGTAGTTTTACAATATACTTATTTCGCCTTTTTTGTGAAGTGGAATTATCATTCCAATTTTCAAGAGATTTGGGAATATTCCCTGGAAAATTGACAAGTTGAAAATGAAACATAGGGGGTAGATGATGTAGTCTGCAACATATTTTAGAACTTTTATAGATAATCCATCATGACCACATGAATTTTTGTTGACCATTTCTGCTAAGTGTTCGGCTACTCCCTCTGCCGTTATTTCATGAAAAAACAGTTGCAAGTTGGGCCAATGGTACAATTTAAGTTTTGTTGCCCTCCATAAGCTGAGACCACTGCCTTTTCGGCAATATTTGAAAAGTAGTTACAGAAGCAATTTGGGATCTCAAAGGGGTTATTTATTTTGTTGACATCCTCATCAGTAATAGATGTGATATTCAGTTGGTCTCTTAGTCTGCCCAGAGTAGTGTTTACAATGTTCCAAATTTCTTTGGTGGTATTAGAAGCATCTGGAATTTTGTTGTGATAAAATTCTTGTTTTTGTAGGTGTACTTTGTCGTGAAAATATTTTTTGGAATTTTTATATTCCTCAATTATGATTGGATTTTTTGTGTTTTTCTGAAGCCAATATAAATTCTTAACTCGTTTGCTTTTTTCAACGATATCCTTATCCACCCAGTTATTTGTATGTGTATTATTTTTGATCCTAACTCTAGTTAGGGGACATGTTAGGTCCAAAACGTACTATATATTCGTTCCTATCTAATTTACTGAATGTTTTATTAACTTTAGGCTCTTGATGATTCCTTTGATCATATAATATTATCTCTAGCATTTCATGATCTGAAAGAGTGCTACTCTCTAATGATAATTGATAGTCCTTGATATTTGTTGTGGCCAGAACATGATCAATAATTGTTTGTGAATGAGGTGTTACTCTAGTCGCATGTTGTTTATCAATGTCATTGCAGATCTCGAAACCATTTAGTACCACACAATTCTTATAATCTATGGAAGAGATTGATTTTTCTCATAGATTGATATTAATGTCACCTACAATTAGCGCATTGTTCTCTTTGTTGAGTAGATCATCCAATATGGTTAAGAATTACTGAGTTTCCGATGATGGTGGTCTATATATTCCCATTATTTTCATCCTGCTCGACCTAATTTCTACTCCAACCATGTTATAAACACTATTTTCTCCAATATTGTTTGTTTCCCTTAATAATATGTTGTGTTCAATGTATATTGCAACACCACCTCCTCTTGAGTCCCTACATGCATGCACAGCTGTATAGCCATTGATACCAAACAGTTTTACCTCATTTCTATACAGACAGGTTTCTACGAACACTAATATATCACATCTTTTTAGTTTTACCAATAACTGCAGTTCATCCAATTTGTTCCTGACACTCCGTATATTAATGTATATTATTTTCAAAGATGGTTGTTTGTTTGAGTCTTCTTTTCTCTGGTGTTTTTTAAATCCATTGAATCTTCAATAACTTCAATTTTGCTGCTTATTATTATATAAAAACTACTAAAAAGTGTGATAATTTTTTTGTTCACGACGGATTCTCGAGAATTATTCAACAATCATTACGATTTCCTAATTTTGCTAAACTTTATAGAGGTCAAGTCCTCAAGCGACCGCACTTTGGATTCATGTTCTTCACCCCAAATCAAGTACATACAACATATTCTGAAAATTCTATATTGTTTTTTCACTAAAAAAATTCAGAAATGTTTTTTTCGGATGTGGGAAAAATAGTGAACACAACTCGCTGAAAAGAACATCAAACTCGTGATTGACTTCTCATATGTAACATGCTCCTTTCTTTGTTTCCTATGCAATATACTTCTTTATGTTCTAATCTATGTATTTTATTTGTTCCAGAGATAATGTTGGAAAAATTCGAGTTTTCTCAATAAAAGTTGCCCTTGCTACTCTATGTGCTGGTAAATTAATGGATAAATTACGCTGTAAGTATACTCATTTTAAACAATCATACATTTGTATACTTTATTGTATAGCTTGAAACTTGAAACATGTTGTATATGAAATTCCACCAGATAAGCATCATATTTTCCAATCAAATTTCAGTAATACATGCATATTTGGCAATTTATTTCTATAAAAGAATTTTCCTACAATCAATCCAATTTTATATCAAGTTTCTAAATTGCCTCATTCTAGTTGTGATTTTCATCATTGTATGATAACATTGGATATCCTTAAATGAGGAATCGATCTAGACAATGAATTCTCCATGATTCAGAAAGAACTATAAAGTCGAACATCAGAATCCAATGTTCTTAAAAGTTATTTGAATTCGTCTACATTCGAATTCAGACTTCGGACGTTCATATGGATCATTTCTCCTAACCGCCATTTACTCCAAATCCATTCTTTCGAACACACAACAGACGAAGGCGAAATACAACGTTGATGCCTTTTCATAACATCTAATAATGAACTATCGTTTACAAATTTTGTTGCTGACCTCCAACCTTACCAGTGCCATCTGATTTGAGCTATCTTATATCCAATGATTTTAATAACGGCGGTTGTTACTATACCTTAATTGGAAATTATACGAGAGTCATATCATTCGCAATATTTCATTTGTGAATAGTCACTATTCTACTATTGAAGGAAAAGCCCATTTTGATCGAAAGGTATATATTTTTTTACTTCCGAATATTTTTAAAACACCTCTAGGAAACGAAGTTAGGTAACTTTGGACATTGCTCAAATAATCGTATTTCACGCCCGATGTTCCTCGAACATAATAGGAATTTTCTTTCGTCCGCTCCAAAAGATGAAAAAAAAAATGCATCAAGGTTGCCCCACCGCCAGGGCAGGTGCCAATTTTTGTGAGAAAGAATTGAAAATTTGTCTTCTTGGATAGTCTGTGTAATGAGACGTCTAAAGAATATAAAATTTGTACACAGTTCAATCTGAGAGCATTCCATCCAAGAAAAAAAAATACTTCGGATTTGTTATTCATAAAAATATACAAGATACATATAAAGTCATAAATACAAAGAAACAACATAACAAAATAGTTTGACAATGCAATAAAAAACAATAGTCTAGTATTTTTGATATTCCACGGGACTGAAGTGACCCATCCCGAAGGCTCTGCCTAATGTAAAGAACCACCAATAACATATACAGGTGTTAGGTGGCCCTCTTGCTAGGATAGGTAAAACACTGAAAAATAAGTTGGGTTTGTTTAGTAAAATGAAGTTCGTATTGGCATCCGTTTTCAAGATACGATGTTGAAACAACAATTTTTATACATATTTATTTTAATGATTTTGTCGAAATTACTTTCAACATTGTGATTGAATTTTGTATACACATGACATGAATTCTTTTGAGGATAGATTGTCTAGTTCAAATCTTGAATGGACTTTTCTTCAACTTTACATTGAAAATGTACTCTTGGTTAAACTTAATACGGTGGCCGTTTTCGGAATATTTTGATTTGAAAATGATTAAGTGATAAGTGTTGCTGGTATAGTCCATCCAACTTCAATTGGAGCATTACTCGCACCGCGCGGTGTCGGCGGGGTTGAAAATCCCTTTGAAGTGCACGTGCGGCTCGAGACGCTCCAATAGACTTTGGATAAACTTCTATAAAGCTATGTATAATGTAAGTATTATGAAAAACTATTTCCTATAATGCTGAAGTGATTAATTAAACGAATCATAAGAATAACATTGGAATTTTGAAAAAAAATATGGAAAATGGTCGAATCTTGAGATAAAAGTCTATGTTAGAAGTGAATTCACGTCAAGAGTTGCGAAACAAAATTGAACATCATTTGAATGACCTCAATGCTGATTCTCAACCAGTTAAAAGAATAATGCATTCTTGAGAAAAAAAAGGTTAGAATTGTGTATTCGTGAAAACAGAGGACATTTCGAACACTCTGATTCATTATGTTATCAGTCAAATTTTCTCAATTTTCTTCTTGTGATTCTTTGTTCGATCAATAACATTAGCATGAGATTAATGTTATTGTTTTTGATTTCAAATAAATAGGTAATTGTTTTTAATAATACTCAATGTTTACCAGCATCAGTTATTACTTCATTATTTTCAAATAATATATTCCGAAAACGGTACACAATATTGAGTTTCGCCAAGAGTGCATTTTTGGTGTAGAATTGAATGATTCATATATAAAAGGACCCCGCACTTTTTGTAGGCGTATAATCGTACTCGGTGAAATTTTCTGAATTTTCAGTATGTTGTAGGATTCGGTGAACTGATTGAACGTGCATAATCGTGGAGTTCTTTGTTGAACAGATTTTGAAATACATTAATTATTTAATTATATTTTAAGGTGTGAAGTGCTTTTTTTTCGATGATACCATTAAAGTACTTTCATATTACTCAATATTATTCATTTTTTTCGTCAAACTGGTTCTTGATATAAACAGTTGAATTTCATACGATGATGTGGGGTTCACATATTGAATGTTACATGTTGTTGTAATTCCTAGAACCTAATGAATTCTACACAACGGGGACATGTTCATTTGTCAGGAATACCAGACCATACCGCTCTATGTAGCCAAGCGATTTTAATCGGTGAGATGGAAGAAACGTCATCTCAACAAATGAACTTATCTATTTATGGTTTGTGCAATATAACTACCTACTTGAGGTGGAACACGATTCTCTGCATTATTTGTAATGTCGCAAGTGTGGTCGTGTCCTGTAATGATCCTTGTTGAAGATTGCTTTTCTTCCATCTTACCAGTTGATACAAATGTTTCTTGAATGATAGCACATAATTCTTTCATTCCAGATATTTTCTCCCAGATATCTGATAGTAATGGTCTGTTATTGCAATGGAGGTTCAATGAGTACCTTCAAGAAGCTTTGGCATTACCTGCTGCTGTTTATGAATCTCCTACATTCGAGTATACCGATTCTCTTGCCAATTCCATATTCAGTCCCGTGAGTTGAAAACATGAATATCATGAGTTAATCGGTAAAAAAAAATTGTCATTTTTCAGAACATTAAAATCACTGTCAATGATTTTTTGGATACTATGATGTCAGATCCTGGACCTCCTGCCTTAGTTTGGTTGCCATTGTTGCATCGCATTGCTAATGTTGAAAATGGTAAGTATTATCCTTTCACTTGATTATTATAGACTAGGAACTAGCTGACTGTTGCATTATATGTCTTGCTGGACCTTATAACGCACACATAGGAGGAAAATCGGCCGTTTGCTCGCTATATTGGAAATGTCTTTCGAAATCATTCCAATCAAATGCTAGATACTGAAATTTTCGAAATCGATATCACCGAGGAGGTAACCGTTTATTCAGAAAACTATTCGATTTATCAAAATTCACCAAGAGACAAAGTTATTCATTTTTGAAAAACGAGTAGAATGAAAGAATCGTGCAAATGGGATAACACATTATGAAGGAAAGCGTAAAACAAATATCCAAACCACCACTATTTGGAACATATGACCAATTTTTGTAGAATCTCATGGGTCTGTCATGAGGTTTAGTAATGAAATGGATGGGACATTTGAGTGCAAAATCTGTACCACTTTATCATTGAGCTTTGCTCCACCAACGCAGAATAAGTATCCATGTGTATGCTTTTTCACATAGAATAAACTATTTTGAAGACTGATGGAACCTTTGGCAAGATGATCCACCTTTGTTTCACCACTAACCAAACCGATTTTTTGAACGTCTCGACACGTATTTGTATTTCGCTAACAATGTTAGCATCTTCTGAAGAAGATTTGAACTAAATATCCTTTTCTAATGTGTGTTGCTTTTAAAATCGGGATCAGAATCCAGGTCCGTCTTGAAGAGAAACAGAAAACTTCTTTTATTTCAGAAACAACACCCTGTATGGCAAAATTTCGTAAATCTCTGTCGTTATCTGAAAAGAGCGGGGAAAAATGAATAAAGTGATCTTCTTCTTACGAGTGCGCATTCGATTCGACAGATGTTTTATTGTTATTTAAAAAAATAATAAGCTCCATTTTGAGTCATTTTTATTGAACTCGTAATTCAAAAGCCAAGTTTGATACAACAAAATAACAGTCTTCAAAGTTCAACATCATTAGAGTCAAATTAGGTGAATTATCAATAGATTTGTTCGTTCCAGAAATTTTTGAGGGCTCATTTAATTCTCCACTTTTGATTCATGAGATGCTGTGAAGTAGGCTGTGCAAAAAATTCTGATATTCTGACAGTTCATAATCACTACTATGATATTATCTTTGATTGCCATTTGCCATTGAATAACTAACACCCTATGTGAGATTTTTGTTAAAATTTCGTATGAAGGTATTTAAGCTATGCCTGAATCAAATAGGGTAGTCATTGTTTCGAAAAAAAAATTTTGTTTTCAAAAATTTGACTCCTTCAACAAACAAAAGTAGGTCTTGAAAATCTGAACATTTCAAATTTGTTCACATTCCAGAATAGAGCTCGTTTAGTACTATATTGCGGAATTTTTGTTTTTGTAAATCGGTTGATGGGTTCCAAATTAGGAGAGTGTTGCGAGTTGAAATCGCACACACTGTATATACTTTATAGAGGTTATCTTTATCTGTTTCCAAAATATATAGATTCTAAGGCAGCTGTAGAACGCCAGAAATCTCATTGACGTACCATGATTTCTACAGAGTGAACTAGAGACGAAAATAGGCCGATTGAAATCAGGTTACCTCTACACTACACTGTTTTACCAGTAACCAAACCGATTTTTTAAACGCCTCGATACTTGTTTCGCTAACTATGTTAGCATCTTCAGAAGAAGATTAAAACTAAATATTCTATTCTAGTGTGCTACTTATACAGGCTGATTCACGGTGGATGGCACATTAGACGTTTCTGGTGAACCAGACGACGGATCATTTTGAAAATTCAATGAAGGGCATATTCGGACATTCTCTAGCCAACTAAGATATTTTCGACAATGCGGTGTTGCCGCTTCTATTAGAAAGCAGTAGCAACTTTGATTTTTCAGATGGAACACTCTATATTTTATTGCATTTTTAGATTCTCCCTGGAGAGCTGATTTCATCGATGTATCACACTTGGGGTCTAGCGGAAATGATTACAGAGATATAGGATGTGAAAAATCGACATTTTTCAACTTTAGGATTTTTTTGTGTCGATACTATTCATCATTGGTCAAAACGGCTCACATGTCCCTATCTCAACTTTTGATTAACTATCTACTGATATTTAATTGGGACATATGCCGGGTGATCAAGATTCTGAATTCTGCACCACCCTGTATTTGTTTCAATTAAATGTTAGTAGATAGTTGATCAAAAGTTGAGATGGGGACATGTGAGCCGTTTTGACCAATAATAAATAGTTTCGACAAAAAAAATTCCTAAAGTTGAAAAATGTCGATTTTTCACACCCTATATCTCTGTAATCATTTCCGCTAGACCCCAAGTGTGATACATTGATGGAATCTGCTCTTCAGGGAGAATCTAACAATGTAATAAAATACAGTGTTCCATTTGAAAAATCAAAGTTGCTACTGCTTTCTAATAGAAGCGGCAACACCGCATTGTCGAAAATATTTTAGTTGGCTAGAGAATGTCCGAATATGCCCTCCATTAAATTTTCAAAATGATCCGTTGTCTGGTTCACCAGAAACGTCTAATGTGCCATCCACCGTGAATCAGCCTGTATACTAGGTATATGTTCACCCAACCGTGAAAAATACTAACCGTGGAGTCAATGTTTGTCATGGTTGAGTTGACATGTTAATGATTTTTTATATTACTAAACTAAACTGCCCCACATTTGAAGTGAGACAAGCAAAAACTTCTGTCATTTTCAAACCGTCATAACTTTGGATTAGATCAACCAAATTTCAATTTCTTTCAAGATTCTGATAGCTCATTCCATCGAGTAAAACGTCAGTACTTTTTTGTCATTCTACCTTTCCGACGTGAAGACCTACAGGGTGATATCTGAATATGTGATAATTTTAGAAAAGTTTGGGATCACCCCGTTACACCGGGAAAATTTTTGATGTCTTATCGAGGGCGATAAAATGAAGAATTCATACAGGATGTTTCGATGTATCGAATTTTCTACATTATATTGCAATTTTCGGCAAGTTTGAGATCGCCCCGTTTGGCAGGGATTCTCATTATGTTTCATTGAAGGCGATAAGATGAAGCATATAATGAGTTTTCTCGAAATGCTCCGCGATTCAGGAAGATCCATACAGGAAGTTTTGATATATGATGCGCTCAACTTCAACAGAACTTTTGATTAGCTTATCCAGCTCAACGCTATCACTATAACATGTGCAGTTGTACTTTTTCAAACATACCGGGTATCATCGAATGTTTCAGACAAACCATGGTTTCCAGATTTCCAGAGGTATGACATTCGAATTTGGCAGAGGGGTGTAGAATTCGAGAATTGGTCAATTTTTCGAAATTCCATACTCTCCCATCGCTTCCCGGTTTGACCAGAAACGACCCCATCTTTCAATTTGCAAATGGGACACCCTGTATTTTATTCCATATATGATTATGGATTATCATAACGAATTCAACAATACTGGGTTTGAGAGAGTTATTTCGAACGATTACGAAGATATTCTCGTTCGAAATTCTCATACGATGTGGTATTTGAATGAATGAATGAATTTATTACGTTCCAAAAAACATAAAAATGTCATCTAGGAACACCTCTGTTACTAGTTACAAGTCAGTTTCACATATTACATAATATTTGACACAATAATTAAATTATTGATTAAAACCTGTTATCAATTTAGTGAATATACCTAGTTGGTACAATAGTAATATATGGGTAACCTTTTCCACTGAACTATAGTATATGCTATATACAAGTATCTAATTGCTTTCCTTTCTAATCCAAACTCCTAATCTCCTAATGCTCATTATCATTATCATCAACCAGTATGAAATTGTCACCAAAAGTTTTGGGCAACTGGAACGACAACTTCCCTAACACAATGAATGTCTTATTGATACCGAAGAGTATTCATACTCTCTCTCAAGATAACCAACGTGAGGCAACGATTCATCATGATACCGCCCCATGTCAATTTAATATACTTATAACTTTTTCATTATAAATATTGTGTGAATAATTATTATTAACGGCATTTTTTCGTAATATTTCAATTTATTTCTACATCCCCTATTTTCGAAAATGTACAACACATTGTGTAGTAACGGCTTTGAAGATATGCCAATGTAAAATTCTGTTGAAGTTGAGTTTATGGTGGTTGAACATATCAGAATGCAATATCTTATGAAAAATTCCATACATCCAAACATCCTGTATGAATCCCCTTGAATTCAAAACCATTTCGCGAAAACTCATTGTTCGTCATTCTATCACCCTCAATAGAACTTTAAAAAATTCCCGGTGAAACGGGGTGATCCCAGACTATTCGAAAATTATCACATTTTCAGATATCATCCAGTAGGTCTTTATGTCCAAAAGGTGGATTAAAAAAAAATACTGACGTTGTGCCCAATAGAATGAGCTATCAAAATCCTGAAAGGAATTGAAAATTTGTTGATCCACTCTAAAGTTGTGACGGTTCGAAAATGATAGAAGTTTTTGCTTGTCTCACTTCAAATGTGGAGCAGTTTATATAGAGGGCTATATGGAATAGGAGCATTATCCTTATTCATTACTGTATTACTATTCTTAAATATTTGTAAGCTTTCATATGCGTCTAATTTTCTAATATTATTAACTTGCTTAACTAATTTTGTGTGTTATGATATGATTGTGACTGAACATAATTATGTTCGGCTACACACGATTTATCTAACCTACCATATTTTAAATGTGCTGTGTTCTTTGAACCTTGTTTTTATGGGTCGCCTGGTTTTTTTATCACAATCATTACAACTTATTTCGAATATTCCCGACTTTTCAAGTGTGTCTACTTTATCTTTCGGATTGCCTAATAAATTGCCTAATTTTTACCCAGACTGAAAAACGCTTTCAAAACCTTATCAAGTCCCTTCGTATATCTGGGATTGAACGGGATTGGGATTCTTCTAGTGTTCTTTTTATCCACTTGAAAAGTCGTAGAATTTCGAAGTGTTATATCTTAAATTTATGTATACGTATTAATTTATCTACTATTTTGATATAGCCATTGAAGCCAGCCACTTTATAAAGAACATTTCTTTCAGCATTGAATCTTTCTTTGCTCAGAAGGAATGGAATTAATCTATGTACTAGAAAATATATAAATATTTAAGAATACTAATAGAGTAATGAATAAGTATAATGGACCTATTCCATATAGCCCTCCATATGGTTTAGTAATATAAAAATTAAGATCAACATGTGAACTCAACCATTTGTCATTCATTAATAAATCAAAATGTGATCAGTGGCATACTCCAAGAAAGTTATTTCAATTCTCATCAAATAAATTGGTTATGACATGTTTTTCATGCACATTCACGATACTGAATCGCCCTACGAATTTTAGAGCAAAGATCGTATTTAAGACTTTGACATATGTCAATGTTTATAAATTTAATTCCATATTTCTAACCTCATCAATTCAATTCCAATTGATTTTTGATTTTAGTGCGCTCTCTCAAGGGCACGGGACCCTGTGGTTTTTCCTGTTTTGCAACCTAATATGGTTTTTACGAGCACCTTTGAGTGCTCGTCAAGTTTCCCTTCTGGGACTTGACTTTTGGTTTTATAAGTGCGCGTTCTTAGGGCACGGGGCCCTTCATTTTTAATGAAAACCCGTTTTTTTCTCAACCTCCTTTATTTATTAACTAAACCACGATATTATGCTGATAGACATCAGCATCCATTCATATAATTTTCACCTCCATGTAAGAAAATTTTTGTTTTTTTATAATAATATGTATATTTTCACATGCCTTCCCTTGTAGTAACTTCTAAAAACGGCTGAAGATGGACTTTTGTAAGTCCGAAACATGTCCTTTTGATTGATTTACATCAGTAATAAAGTAGTGGAGAAGACTGAGCTTTCCTTCTTTCTTTTGAATTATCGTATTTGTCTTATCATAGCTTTCAATGGCTCAGGTGTGAAGGTACGACGGCAAGACCATTTTGCTAACACGTGCAATCCCCTACGTCACATGATACAGAGTAGAACTACATTGTAATGAACGCGGGGACTGAACCAAAATTATTATGAGAACGAATGACAGGTAGTAGAAGGTCATTTTAAATTAGGACTGTAGACATTCAGTTATATGGACTCAATATCTTCAAGTGTTTACGAGGCATATATTTTTAATAGACAGAATGTTATAATGGAGCAATATTTTTATGTGAATGAACCCATGCTAGGAATCTAAACATTGTTCTCAACTCAATCATAGCAAATGCATAAAAGGGTAGGTTTATCATTAGGTATTCGGCGGCACTTGGAGAACAGATCAGAAGAGTGTAAAAAGATTTACAGAAGTTCGAAAAAAGTCCTACAGGGAATTAATAAAAGAAATATGCTCAAGTTGAAGGGTTGAGCGATCATCAACAGAGTTGCCAAATCTGAAGTAAAGGCCAGATGATCAATGAAAAAAATTAATTAGTTCAAAATTATTTCGATCGAAATCCTGTTTCTCCATTTGATTTTAAGTGATCTCCGAGGTCAAATAACATTCATTTTCGCGAGATGATGAAAAAATGCCATCGGGTTGAAAACTATTTCTGTGATAATCGGAATCGTTTTTATACACTTCATTGTAATTGATATCCGAGGTCAATTCAACTAAACGAATATCTAATGTAATTTCACTATGAAAGCAAGAACATTTCAGTATGAAAGCAGGAGTATTTCAGTAAGAAAGCAGGAAAATGAAGAATCAATAATCATTCAGTCTTGAACAGTCCTAAAGTAGTCTTGCTGTAAATCTTGATCAGTTGTTCAATACGATGTCTCGACCTTCATGAAATACTCTTGAATCAAGTCTCGAATTATTTCCAAAGTGTTTCCATTCTGTTCCTATGAGTGGTATCACTGATTTTCGAACAAACTCGTAACTGTGACCTATTGCCAACTGTATACAGGGTTGGGAATATGTGTGGAAACACCTTATTTCTGACTAAACCAGAAGTAATTTTTATTTTTCGATCATTACTTTTATAATTTTTTTCTGTTCTACACAGTGGCCAATGTTGAAATTTGGTAGTCATCATATTGTTGTAAATATGGCGCAGGCAGCAGTTTTTTTAAATGGATATCTCTGTATATTGTTTCAATTTTAGATTCTCCCTGAAGAGATGATTTCATCAATATATCACACTTGGGGTCTAGCGGGAATGATTACAGAGATAATTATTATAGGGTGTTCAACATGTAGGTTTTTCCAACTTGGGGATTTTTGAAGTGGCGTGGAAAAGTGCAAATGTTATTCCCATCCCTAAGTGTAGCATCCCCCACGGAACTGACACATCTCAGACCAATCAGTCTTCTTCCAATTTTATCAAAGGTATTTGAAAAGATTCTGAAAGAACAAATATCGAACTTTGTCAAAAATCATAATATCGTAACTCCTGTACAATCTGGGTATCGTGCATTCCACAGTACAACCACGGCATTATTAAATTTTTGTGACAATATCTTCAAAACAATTGATATGAATGACATGGTGTGTCTTGTCCTACTAGACTACAGCAAGACATTCGATATGATAGATCATGATGTCTTATGTAATAAACTCAAGTTCCTTGGATTCTCTAACAATGCAGTTGTTCTTATGCGCAGCTATCTTACTGCGCGAAGCCAATCCGTTATAATGGTCTCTCCCGAGTCAGAATCTTTGCCAATTGAGAGTGGAGTACCACAAGGCTCAATTCTTGGGCCAATCCTTTTCCCAATTTACATTGCAGACTTCCACAAATATGTCAAAAACTGCACTGTTCATCACTTTCCGACGACACACAAATTTATTAAAAATCTACTACGAATTCAATTCCCGAATCCGTGAATGCTATTGAAGATGATCTTTTATCATTATACAACATTTCGGCTGCTCATAACCTCAAGCTTAACCCAACTAAATCTGTCGCCATACTTTTCGGCCGAAAATCTAAACGAGCGCTACTACCTGGCTTCAACATCAACTTAGCAGGAACACCCCTATCTATGGTTAAAGAAACTGAAAATCTTGGCTTATGGGTTGACGAAGACTTGAGATTTACTAGACATGTAAGTTATCTTTGTCAGAGCTCATATAATGTACTGACAATTGTATCCTAACCGTGACATATTATCAACTAAAATAAAACTTGAATTGTGCGAATCTAGTATTATCCAAATTGTCATATTGTGATAGCATTACGGTCTAGCAATCTTACAGACTGACGCTTTACGACTTCAGAAAATTCAGAATTCCTGCATTCTATTTTCTTACGGTATTCGGAAATACGACCATATTGGTTCTAAATTCAGTGAATCTGGGTGGCTGAAATTAGAAAGCTTACGCAAACTTCACTTACTAACACTTACTCATAAGGTCCTACAGACAGGTGAACCACCATATTTGCGTGAAAGGCTAGTCCCTTTCTCGAATCAACTGTACACTAGGAAAAACCATTATTTACTAGTTATTCCGAGACACTCCACAGCATTATTTACACGTAGTTTTGCCTACAACGCATCCAAACACTATAATTCACTCCCCACAGAATACAGGAATTTCTCTTCGTACAACTTTAAAAAAAGATTGAAACAAACATTAAGATACGCTCAAGACTGAATGATCGCTGTTGAACCTAGCTCTTTTCTATTTGTCAATACTTCAAAATATGAAATTGAATATAATATTATTATTAGTATCGTCGTTGATGTTATTATCAATAGTATTATTACTCTCATTATAAATATTATTATATTCATTATGAATATTATTATAATCATCATCATTTTTCATTATCTTGATTGTTTTCATTAAAAATATTATTATTCGCCTATTCACCATAAACATATAACTCTCTCTCCATTGTATTATATTCTGTATTATTTTTTATATTGGTGAATAAAGTCGATTATTATAATTATTATTATTACTTCTATAGGCCCGTTAGACAGTTTCTGAGATGGGAATGAACCGACAAACTCGCGTCACGGATGCGCGTACCATAAGACCGGCATAATCATAAGTGTATATATTGAAAAATCTCGATTTTGAACTCTATATCTCTGTAATCATTCCCGCTAGATCCCAAGTGTGATGCATTGATGAAATCAGCTCCTCAGGGAGAATCTAACATTGCAAGGTGATCCATTTAAAAAACTGCTGACTGCGCCATATTTATAACAATATGATAGCTACCAAAAATCAACATTGGCCACTGTAGAACAAAACAAATTATAAAAGCCTTGATAGAAACAAAACTTCTGCTTTAGTCAGAAATAAGGTGTTTCCACTCATATGACCAACCCCGTTTAAATTCATAAATGTGTGAATAGGTATACCTACAGCTATTAGTCGTGTGATTCCTACCAACTTTCAGAGACGGGCATCCTTTTGGGCAGTGCCGTGCATTTTTATTGAATTCAAAAGGTGTCCATTTTGTATGAAATCATATGGGGAATTTCTGTATAGGAAAACTGACCTCATAATATTGTTCTTCATAGTTTCAAATCGCAGAGTCATTCTTTAACGTTCGATGGCATTTTCATGAATGAATGTTGTTTTCGGAATAATGTTATTTCGAGATGTTTTAGTTATCCATCCGGTGCAGTGTGATGCATGTCAGAGAGAGAATTTTACTGGATTTCGTTATCGATGTCAAAAATGTCCCCACTACACCTTGTGCCAAGACTGTTTTTGGAAAGGCCGAACATCGGCACCTCATAATTTGGAGCATCAAGTTAAGGAATATGCTTCTTTCGTAAGTTATTTTAATTTATATTGAAATTATGAGATGAACATGAATAAGGGGATAGGATATGTTGTTTAAACTGTAGGAACTATCAAACAAACAATATGTTATATGTCATGAATATCTGGAGAAATTGAAAATTAGATAATTCATCTTCTCTGAAAAAGTGTTGTAACGGCCAGTTAGTGTGAATCAGGAGGTTACTATATACTAGATTAAAAAAATAACTCAATGTTTTCATTCAGGATGTGAAATGTCAGTTTTGCAGTATAATTAGAAAATATAAAATTAAAATTTTGTGTTGTGTTTAACGTTCATTAAAAATATGCATCATTTTTATTTTCAAATAATAATCTTGGATGTAAGCATTGCTTACTGTCTCAATCATTCGAGCTTCTCATTGGGCATATTTTCTGACTACTAACTATACTTTTGTTCATTATTTTCAGTCTCCTAGTAAAACTATTGGACAATCTCTGAGAAAGTCATTTCGATGTGTTCCTGATAAACAAAGAAACAATCTACCGAGATTTCCTGAACAACCTGAGAAAACTTTGAATCTTTCTCACATTGTGTAAGTGATTAATGTGAGTTCTTTCTCAAAATGTGGATATATGTTTTCTCTTTTTCCAGACCGCCTTCTCCCATACCTTCCCATAATGGATTTCCAGATGGAAATTTCTCTGCTTTTGATGGCATGGGGAGTCTTGATAGTAGATCCACAGCACGAAGGTATTTAACTATATATAAGAAATGTTTCCTCATTTGCTATTTGTCACAAGAGTCTTCCCGTACGTACCTAATAATATTCAGGAACGACTAAAGACTGAACGGAAATACCCGAACAGCACCAGCGCTAGAATGTAAAACTTAATAAGGCGCCAAAATAATATAATATGTTTATCTAAGGCGTTCGGCTGTGACAACCACGGAATACTGTTGCCAAAGCTTTACCACTATAGATTCAGGGGTGTCTCTCAGAAATGGAAATGTCAGGTCAAAGCAAAATTGTGAAAACTACAACATACGATGAGTCGATTGTAGAATGTGGTGTGCCTCAGGAACCAACACTTTTTTTACTCTATATAAATGACCTGGCCAGAGTTAACATATCAGGAAAATAACACTGTTCGCGGATGATACCGGTATTATATGTCATAATAAAAATACTGAACCATTTCTTGATATTATCAAGGAAGGATGACATGAGGTGTGACTCAAATCAGTTGGTGATGAATTTGACAAAAACTAATATGATGTCATTTAAAGGTGGGAAGAAAACAGCATTTATACAAAATTTCTAGGTAATAGATTTCAAATTGAAATTTCATGTTAACATTTTGATAAAAAAATGTCTTCTGGATGTTATGCGGTGGAAGTCACGTCAAATGAACTAGGGTTCTCTTTTTCTAATGTTGTTTACCATGCTTCAGTTTACTTTAATTCAAGGTAGGGAATTCCATGGTGGGCGGTGTAATGATCATTTCATAAACTCAGTCTTTATATTGCAGAAACGGGCAGTAAAATATATGTGCAAAGCAAAAATTCGTGACTCCTGCACACCACGCCACCCGGCAAGCTGGAAATATTAAATTACCAATTCTATCATCAACTCTAGTGAGATATTCAGTAATTTAGGAAGACTGTAAGATTATTAACATTTGCCAAGAGACATCAAAGAAGTAGCATCCAATAAATAATTCAAACAGAGAATAGAAGCATTTTTTTCGAATGAACCATGACCATACCTTTTTATAACACACAAAAAATTTCTTAATTGGTGCCTTGTGCCCTGCTGCACATACAAACATATTTTTTGCGCCTTATTTAGTTTCACGTTCGAGTGCTGGTACTGTTAGAGTATTTTCTTTTGGTCGTTCCTGTACATTTTTACATACGGGGGACTCTTCAATTCATGGTCCAATTAGTCACTAGCTGATGAGTTTCAGTGAATTAATCTAATCCTTGAACCCCTTGTTTTTCACTCAGCTTTGGACGTTTCGGGAAAGAATCTGCTCTCGGTTTCAACATAAAAATGGAATAGTATATGTCAGGACATGTAATGAACACGGTATTTCAGATTACACTTCGTAGATATTGAAAATATATTGATAAAATATTAAGTCATGGAAACCATCCATCCTTCTCAAAGTGGTCCAAATTTTTTATTACTTTTACTACACTTTTACTACACTTGACAATTCTTCTTCTTCCTTTTGGTCTTCAACCTTACCACGTACTTCTCATAATTTTGTTACAAGGAGATTATTTAATTAACCCATTGTTTCCTTTGCAATTATTTGTTATTTTGCCAAATAGTATTCTGTACCTTATGATGATTTTGTCATGTCATTTAGTTTGTATAATTGTCACTGTCATTCAGTCTTGTCATGCTGTCATTGTCATTTGCTTACCTTGGCGATTGTTGGATTTCTGTCTTTCAATAGCCATTCAAGATGAAACTCAGTTGAGTGAATTTAAATATCTTTAAAATTTTTTCGTGCCAATGTTGAACCTCATGATTATAAGGTTCTTTTGGCTGTTCAGCCGCTTTAAAAAAATTTAATCACCCCCTTACCGGACTGATTATATTCATACGCTGATATAACCGCTTAAAAACAATTTTTTGATGAATTTGTAATTACCACATGGCCTAGGTATGTTTTTTCCTCAGCAAACTTATTGTTCGTCTGTAATTTTCATTTCTTACAGGTACTCTATTTAATTTTGTCTGAAGATGGCTGTTTAGCCGAAACTAGTCACACTAGCAATTGTAATATAATTTGTGGTCGACCGACTTTGTGTATTTTGTTTTTTCTTTGATAAAATATTACATAAAAACGACACAAAAGAAACTTGGAACATTTTTACTCTCACAGTTGTAGGAAATAAAAAACTTAGAACTACTAGACTTCTACTTTTACTGGTAATAAATTCGCGGTCGCTCTCTCTAGGATATCATCGGGAATTTCGGGATTTTGTCGGCATAAATTTGATTGACAGAGAATAAACGATGCTGACTGTACTATACAGTGTTAGGCATGTATGAATAATTTCCATGGTTATTCTCAGAGTTTTTCCGTGCGCTGTTTCCGTGTGCTAGCCCGAAATATCCCATCTTACAATAATTCTAATATGGATGAAAATAAAGTGATTTCATTCAAAGAAGTATAATAAAAACTAATTTATGATATTGTTAGGTTAATTCATCTACTTTTCAGTGTGGTGTAAAATGCACTACACTATGAGTCAGCTGATATTTCGTGCCGCCACTTCAACGAATTCCAAACGAATGGAGAACATTGAATAAAGAGAAGTGCAATTTTGATTTCAAATTGTGAAATTGATTTTTCAGTATAGGTGCTTCCATGCCAATGCAGTTTTCAAAATAATGCCCAAATACAGTGTAAATTATACGAAATGTAGTAAAGTGCTACACTTTTTATACAAAAGGAGCTTATGATGTCTTCGCTTTTGTGTTTTGACACTTTCCAGTTAGAGAAGAATCTGTGAGCGACAAGGTGTTTCTCTGAATGATCTTGAATTCACCATTTTCAAACTAATTAAGACTTCAGAAGTTGGTCTAGTTCTATCCATATCAACTGAATAGGAAGCAATGCTATTATCTCCATTCATAAGCATACAAATGGTTTATCTAATTTGGTTTTCATCTTCTCTTCCTATTATTTCAATACCATTTCACGCCATCATATGTTGTCCATTTTCAGTAATGACATGTTCGGCTAATTTTTATTTGTTGATAGGTCTTCTTTATATTCACGGTCACTGTTCCACCTGTATATTATTTTCCACAAACACAGAATACTGTATATAAAATTTTTTGATTATTGTTCTTTATTTTTTGGTTTTGTTTCGGTGAAAATGAATTTTAATAACTGCATTCAGTGCAATTATCAATCACTATGACAACACGATCAACTTTGACAACTTCAAATTATTTTCCGCTTAATATCCCTCGGATATTGACAAATGCCTCATAATTTTATGAGAAATTTCTCAAGCTCGTTGCTTCGGCTTAAAAGTTGTTACCAAGGAACGAGCTTCTGATTGTCATGAAATTATCTCGTCTATTATCAATGTCAAAGGGATATTACTACTGATAATTGATACTGTATTTTCAGTCTCTTACACGGGTTTCATTCGAAACTTATCACCAACACTTTTTATGCTCTCAGATTATACATGTTTTAATCCTTCTTCGTTTGAAAAAGTGAAGAAAGGATAACTTTTTTCTATTGTCTACCTAGGTGGCATAAAATTCTTCGGTAATACATTTTTGACAACAAAAAATCTTGAGACGTTTTCCGAACTCGAAGTCAGTAACTTCCTTTTTAATCATCTCTGGAAGCTTATTGTAAATCCTTTCAACAATGGAGATGGTTCCCCATAGAGTTACATTCGAATTATTTCGAGGTGTTTTTAGATGCTGTTTGAATCTTGTTGAATAACTGTTATCATAGCTAGGAGTGCTGATGCATTTGTTATTTCTTAATGTGTTACGATATTTCACGAAAATACAGGCAAGAGACAGGAAGTATTTTCAGTTTGTCAAATAATAGCCCACACGATTGTTCTAAGGCATTTTTCTGTAGTGAAAATAATTTCTGGGCTGCTGATGCTACACCCCATAAATAAGATCCCATATGTGAGCCGTGACTGAATTTCTGCATAATAAATTTGTTTAGCACGGGCAAGTCAAGAACTCTTCGTAGACATTTGAGTTGTTAAATTTTCCTGTTTAGTTTGGCCATTGTTCTCTAATATGCATTTCCCAATCTAATGTATCATTGATAAAAATGTTATGTTTTTGCATTGTTTTAGGTTGACTTCTCCTCATTTAATTTCTATATTTCCAATACTCATTTGTCTAGAGTGATGTATTGAAAAATTTTATCAGTTTTGACATATACTTTGTTTGTGGTGAACCGAAGTATAATTCCTGTCATCACAGTAATTTTGGATGGTTTCTAAGGAGTCTTTTGCGATCAAGATGGACAAATCATCTGCATAAAGTGTTGGCTTGTATTCATCTAAGTATTTAACAATATCTGCTATATACATGAGAGTAATATAGGGACAAGAACACTTCCCTGCGGTACTCCTATATTTACTGATATTGTTTTGGCTAATAGTTTTGCTTGGATGTGGCTTAGAATTAGTTTGATTTTTTTAGTGAAACTGCTTTTGACTGACTTGCTATATTTTTAATAACATTGACAACTGCCTATTCCGAATTAAACAACTATACATGGTGATAACTATGTACACAATATACAGAGTATAACTAAATATTCTCCAACAGATATCATATCTGAGCAGTACATGTTGACCATCAGCTTCACTGTGAGATATCTCTACATATTGTTTTCTACCGTCAAGATAAGACCACTAATGTCTATTTCCTCTGATCCCATAAATCCAAAGTTTTTCTAACAATCTATCGTGTGGACCACAATCAAACGCATTGCTCAAATCGCAGTATATTCCAATTGGACATCTTTTTTTGGGCAATCCCATTAATATGTCTATACTGGGTGTCCCGAAATTAGCTTGCCTAGCTCCCCTGAAAGGGTGCTCCTGAAGATTATATTTCACGAATATTTCCGAAACGCCATGTGAATTTATGCAATTCGATACTAGAACTAAACATTCCATGCCCAAAAAATTTCATTCAGGAATGTATAAAACAGGGTGAGACTACATTAAATATTGCCGTAGCTCCCTCTGAAGACATTTATCGACTCTTGTTCATTAAAACTTTTCTTCCTATTTTTAGTCGTAGAAGACGCTGGTGAAGTTTGGCAGGCTAATTTCGGGACACCCAGTATATGTTTTTGTTGATGATGTTGTGGTATATTATGTATAACTTTCTTTGATGCATTAATGAAGAAATTATTAAAGGTGTTAGCTACAGTTACAGATGAAGTGATCTCTTCATTCTCATGTATCAGCTTAATGTTAGTTTTGGGCTTGGATTTTCCTTTCAATTCATTTATAATAGACCAAGAAGTTTAACTTTTGTTTTCGGACTTCTTAATTATGTGCACCTGAATGTTTAACCATTTTTCACTTCATCAGTTACCCAAATTCAATTCGAAATTGGTTTCAATTTTTGATTATGTAGTGGAAATGCATTAAAAAGGTGAGTTTGAACAATGCTTTCAAATTCATTGTATTTGTCATTACAGGTTTCTTGGTTATATATATACTACATTCCAGTTTTAATTTTTCAGTAGTTGGGAATTTCTTTGTTTCTTTTAAATGCCATAGTTCCTACCAAACTTTATATTTTTTCTGTCAGCACACAAGTCAAGATTCACTTTTACTGTGATATATCTATGTTTTAAATGGGGAGTGTCCTTGACCCTGCTCTCTGCTTCAATATTTGAAAAAAAAATTATATTCATATGCCTACATTATAGCCATTAATTGGTGAATTTCTTACTTCGAATTATTTTAACCATGTTTCTGTGACCAAAATGAACATAGGATTTTCATTGATCAGATCTACCTCCAGTAAGTTCTGCTTATTGTTAATACTTTGTAGATTCAAATATAGAATAAAGTTAATATTATTATTTTTTTCAACGTCTTCAGAATCCTTCCCATATTTAGTTGCACGATTCTTGGTAGTTGATTGCAGTTTGGTGCTGTCAGCTATTTTGGCGGCCCCAGTTGATATTCTTTCTGAAAATTCGAGTTCTCACGAGTGTTATCTTTGATCCTTTCCAAATGTTTTTCCTCTCTTTTGAAATTAGAACGATTAACCGCTACACCACGAGGCCAGAATTTTTTTAGGTTATAATCCACGCCAATTTTGAAACATTTCTTGTCTTTCATTTTATGGTATGTAAAATTTTCCGCAACATCGGCAGTGGTATTAGTTTTGGATTTAAGGTAGTCCTCAATCATCTTATTATTCACATGGTCTTTCACTCTGGATATGAACCCATATTTTTTTATTCTGCAATGATCTTCCTACGAAACTACTGCTTCCCCAATGTAATTATTTTTGGACGTCCTATTTCTTCAATGTTACCTTTTAAAATGAGTAATTGCCCTCCTTTGGCTGCGAAGTTTGTGCATTTATTTCTGGGTGTTTTTGTGTACCTTTTTCATCTGCTAATATCTTACGTGGCCCGTGTTAGGCTTGTTTTTTGTTGTATTTGCCAGCTGTATACCTTTTTTGGGTTCGGGATGAATTAATATAATGTTAATTTTTATTCTAGATTATGTATTTTCTCATTCAAAAGATCAATGTGCAACTCTTTATCATTGATGATAGTTTCCTTATCGGCGATCATTTGTTTAAGAAGTGCGTTTTTCAACTTCAGAGACGAATCTTTATAATGTAACATGTTGAAATAAACTACTCTACTCCACGGTACTCTAATTGTTTCGTTAGAACATGTTTTTATTCTTTGTGCACAACTATTATGGAATATGGACTCACATTTATCACATTTCAGTCCACTAACTGTAGTTTTTTTACAATAATTTCACACTTCGGGAGCGATCTGATTCGCATTTAGCATCAGCATACATCTTGCTGTGCACATGTCGAAATTTAAGTACCCAGCTGGAGTTGGCTAATCGGAAATGAATCCTGGATACTAATAAGTCCGATGGTATAGTTAATGAATATCATGAATACATCTGTCTTTTTGCTCCAGTTTGGATAGTGCACGTGATGATGAACATAGACTGATTGCAAGATATGCAGCAAAGTTAGCACAAGAAGCTAGATCCGGAATGGTGAGTTGAAAAGTACTATTTGATTACATTTATATGACGACTGCATGTCTCCTGATATTACCTTATCTTTTTTATGTTGGATGATGTATCTAAATGTGCTTTTGCTGTGCTTGTTTTAGCCTCGAAGTGGTCATAGAAAAAGCTCACTTTCTCCAGATGCGGTAAGTAGTAATTGCAGAAATACTCTCTTCGCTTTGGGCATATCATATTCATATTCATATCATCTTCACATATCATATTCACTAAGTGAACTTCTGATACCTCTATGATATATTGTAGGATAATAATTAGATGACATTTTTGAATTTTGGATTTTCCAATTATTCTTTTATTAAATGATTGTTAATTATGTTTTATAATCGATTTATTCAAAAACCTGGGCGGAAGTCCATGATAGCTCGGAGTGGCGTAGTATAATTGAGCAAGAAAGAAAGCCCAAAATCATCTTCAATATCAGAGTTTTAATCTTCTCCTGAAGATGCTAACATAGGTAGATAAACACGTGTCCAGGAGTAAAAAATCGGTTTGGTTAATGGTAAAAAGTGTGTAGTGTATTATGGAGCCAAAGGTTCCAGTCTTGGATAATTCACAATATCATGCTTTCTTCCTCAATTATAGATTTATTCCTTCATTTCGACACTTATATTATTGATTCTTGCATTCACCCTAAATATTAAATACAAATTTCTTCATGGGGAGTGTCACCTTACATTGCATCTTATTAACATAGAGTGGTGGACCTGTGTTTGAAATGTACAAACTGATTCAAAAAGATGTTCATATTATACAGGGCTTCTGTTAATGATCGCAATAACGCAGTGACTGTTGAAATACTGCTATGATCTTTGACAGTAATGACTGTCGGATTGAAAATACGAGTGTGTCTGGTACTCTTTTTTTGTTTATCTCTTTACGCACACGAAAAGGAATTCCTATAATTCAAAAACAGAAGGGGCAGAAGGAAATCTAGCCCTCAGAGTTATCTAGTGGCTTGAGTGCAAAGGTGTATAAGTAGACTCAACGATCATACCTTGCGAGTAATTCGTATATAGACCCCTACGTCTATGCTCACAGCTGATAAATTATAAATTGAGTAATCCAATATTCTGTTGTTGATATATGCTAGGTAAGCCAATCTCATTTGGCGAACTAAGTTTTATTTAGATGTGACAATTTCTGCGGAGTCGTCAATAAGTTTAATTTGAACCAACTCCAAAACGATTAGAAACATTTCGGGTCTGACTCGGAAGTATGAATAGTAGTCAAAAGACGACAGATCTATACAGGCTGATTCACGGTGGATGGCACATTAGACGTTTCTGGTGAACCAGACAACGGATCATTTTGAAAATTCAATGGAAAACACATTCGGACATTCTCTAGCCAACTAAAATATTTTCGACAATGCGGTGTTGCCGCTTTTATTGAAATAATACGAATACTTTTATTTTATAGAAACGAGGAGAGAAAATCCCAAAGAACCAAGTAAAATGGAACACTCTGTATTTTATTGCATTTTAAGATTCGCCCTGAAGAGCTGATTTCATCGATGTATCATACTTGGGGTCTAGCGGAAATGATTACAGAGATATAGGGTGTGAAAAATCGACATTTTTCAACTTTAGGAATTTTTTTTGTCGAAACTATTCATTATTGGTCAAAACGGCTCACATGTCCCTATCTCAACTTTTGATCAACTATCTACTAAAATTTAATTGAAACGAATACAGGGTGGTGCAGAATTCAGAATCTTGATCACCCGGTATATGTCCCAATTAAATATCAGTAGATAGTTAATCAAAAGTTGAGATAGGGACATGTAAGCCGTTTTGACCAATGATGAATAGTTTCGACACAAAAAAATTCTAAAGTTGAAAAATGTCGATTTTTCACACCCTATATCTCTGTAATCATTTCCGCTAGACCCCAAGTGTGATACATCGATGAAATCAGCTCTTCAGGGAGAATCTTAAAATGCAATAAAATACAGAGTGTTCCATTTGAAAAATCAAAGTTGCTACTGCTTTCTTATAGAAGCGGCAACACCGCATTGTCGAAAATATTTTAGTTGGCTAGAGAATGTCCGAATATGCCATCCATTGGATTTTCAAAATGATCCGTTGTCTGGTTCACCAGAAACGTCTAATGTGCCATCCACCGTGAATCAGCCTGAATATTTAGCAGGGAGGTACTATGAGGTGTGATGCTGTGTGTCAAGATAACTCTCCTTTTGTTTTGGACTCAAAATGTATCGAATCAGCCTATAATGGCCCTCGGCAGACGCCATCGGGCCATTGTTCACGCGTCGAGCCATGAAGAGTTGAAAACCCACTACACGGTCTTGATACACCAATAACCATTATGCACGACCGCGTGTAAAGTAGCATTTTATCGCCTGGTTGTGTGGGCGTAAAGTGGCACTTAAGCGCCCGGCGGTTGAAATTCCGATCTACTAGATTCTTTATTATATGAACGTTAGGAACTAATCAATCTTCCACCTTCACCATTATAAAAAGTCATTGACTGCATATATGTTTTAAGGACCGAGTACCTTCTGAGGCATGTCTTGGAATGGATTCTACAAGGGCGCAACGGGAACTTATTAGTCAGCTAGAAGCGAAAAATAGAGAAATCATGAGAGAAATTGCTCGACTTAGGTAAGACCACAAAAAGTTACCAATTATATATCTTCTTGTAATTTCGTTCAATATGATGACTTGGTTACATTTTGAAGGTTAAAATGGTAGTCATATGAATACTATGTAGTGTCCAAATAATATTTCATACACATAATCATTAATAATTGCATCATGAAATGTCATAATGCACTTTATATTCTAATGGCCATCAATTTGACATTCAAAATCTCAACAATGGGTGTGTCAACAAAATGCCTACTCACAAACAATAGTAAATACCATCTCAATAAAATTATGCACGAGTCATCTGAATCAATTCCCTGATTGATGGGTAGTTTGACAAAGTGAACTTATTCTGAACATCAAGTATAGGAAATTACGATTGTGTACATTGTGAAAGTGAACAATGTATGTAAATATAAGGAAAACTACTTGGGAAACGCTTGAGCTGGTCAATGAATACTCAAATTCGTGCACCTTTTCGATGTCGTTTGAATTATGTGTTGGTAAATAGTGGGAAAACAATAATATACGATGAATGTGAGAGTATAGTATTCAGCTAAAAACATCGCCGGCGGCTCGCGGTCTGTTTGAACTTTTCAAACGGACCGGTGGGCGCGGCGGATCTATTTTCTTCAAGCTGTCTCGAGTGACTGCAAAATTATACCTCGTGGGAACATTAATAAAATATTTTGAAAGACTTCTGAATTTCACCAGAAATAATCGTTTTTTGACCTTGTGTATTTTCGTTATAGACGACAACAAGAATTAGAAACTGGTGGTCATGCAGATAATCCAGTATTGATGAATGAATTAAGAGCATTGAGAATGAGAAAAGATGAACTAGAAACTCACTTAACCACCTTGCAAGATTCAAGGAGACAGCTGATGATGCAATTAGAAGGACTGATGAAGATGTTAAAGGTGAGTTATTAAGAAAGCACATACAAGTTCTGGAGAAAAAAGTCTTCAATCACACTCATGGTGGATTCATACAGGATTATGTTTGCAAGTCTTAGGAGGTAATTCTGTAAGGCCTTATGGCATCGTTAGCAAACGGTAATCGTTACGAAACGACATTAATTTGTTATTCTGTAGTTAACGATTGTCGTGACTGAACGACAAAATACATCGTTTCTGTAAAACATCGATTGGAGTCATTGGGGAAGAAAGAGTGAGTTTAGACGTGGTGGAGATTAATTATTATTTCTGGTGTTGAGTTAGCGGGAATTCGGTCGAAATGTTGAAGAGAACCAATTTTTAAATTGTCGACGTTTCAAAACTTTATTGTTTCATCTTCTGGACACTGAAGTAAAAACAAGAACAAACATATTGAAATGATATTCCAAAATGAGGGGTTTTGATAAAAGCAAAATAAGTTATGTAAAATAACAATCGTTGAAAATAAAACACTTCTCACACTTTACAGAAAACAACATAGATAGGTACTTACATTTAGGGTGGCTTTCCGGTTTTAAAAATAGTGAAATAAATAAAATCGACATGAGGTATAAATACGTACACAGATTCATGAAAGACCTTAACACAGACACGAACATGAAGGAATGAACAAACTGAACTGTCATTGAATCGTTTCTTTATATTATTGCAAAAAAGGCTCGTGAAAGAAATAATAATCGGGATTGGAAAAAGTCGCCTGTGTAAATACTAGTTATTCTCTAATTATTGAGGATAATAGGTTATCTAAATGACACGCCATTTTGTGTGTTAATCAATGCTTTCTTTATTGGAATTAGAGATGGGTCGTTCCAATAAACATCGTTCCGATTCCTAACATCTGAACATCATGTTCCTAACATCCTTCCTTCAATAAGAAATATAATAACAATATGGTAACAACTAAATTTCATCAAAGATTCAGCCTCTGAGGTGGTTTTATTAATCTTCTAGAAGATGTACTCTTTTCATTATTCACTAGGTTCTCCTCAGAGTCTGTATCCATGACTGAATCAAAAGTATTATCAGCATTACTACTACTAGTTAAATCATTTTTATCATTGCTACTATCGAGTGTATCAAATGAGCTTTCTATAGTAGTGTTTTCAGATGCAGTACCTGTTTCTTCACTGTTTTCTGAATTATTATCACTATCACTATCTATCTCTAAGTAACATTTAAATTCTACTTCTTTTCTTCCTTTCATAACAGGGTTTGTTAAACGTGGAGTTGGATGAATATTCAATGGGATATTGATGTCAGATTTAATTGGTTTAATAAATCTTCGATTACGAATTAATACTGATCCACTATCCAGTTTAACTTTATAAGTTCTATGCCTAATATTTTCTAATACGATCCCAGGAGTCCAGACGCTGTTGGGCTTGACTTGAACATATACTCTAGTGTTCTCTTCCACTACAGGCAAATCTTTAACTGACTGATTATAATAATGTTTTTGCTGAATTCTCTGGTTTTGAATCATTTTATCTTGACTATATACTAATTTAGGTTTCAATGAATCAGTTGTACATGGAATAGTTGTCCTTAACTTTCTTGACATCAGAATTTCAGCAGGAGAAATATTTTTAGTTATAGGGGCGCTTCTTAAATGTAATAGTGCAAGGTGCAAATCTTTTTTTTCCTCTAATATTTTTTTAAACATTTTCTTGATGGTTTGTATGTGTCTTTCTGTCATGCCATTTGATTGGGCATAAGTCGGAGAAGACATAGTGTGGTTAAAATTCCATTCATTAGCAAATTTTTTAAATTGACTGGAGCTAAACTGGGGCCCACCATCAGAGACCAGTGTCAAAGGTATACCTAACAAAGAGAATCTGTCTTTCATTATTTCAATTATTTTGTCGCTAGTTGTATTTCTATGTAAATCTACCACATCCACAAATTTAGAGTTAAATAGTCAACGAGGAGGAGATATTTATGTCCATTTATTTCCAGAATGTCACACCCTACCTTGTTTCATGGAATTAAAGGGATGTCATGACTTTCTAATGATTCTTTTTGTTGTGAGTTTGCATATTTCAAACATAGGTGGCATTGCGAGATTTTTTGTTTGATTTGGTTTACCATTTGAGGCCAAAAAATTGATTCTTGTGCTAACTGAATACATTTTTTTACCCCCAGATGATTATAGTGAATACGATTCATCATTTCACTCCTCATACTGGATGGTATTAGAATACAATTACCTTTGAAAATTAAATTATCAATTATGCATAATTCACTCTTAAAAGGTGCATACTGTTTCAAATTTTCACTTAGTTTTTTATTGTTATTTGGCCAACCTGCTAAAATGACTTGTTTTAATTTTATTAATTCATTGTCTTGGTTCGTTTCTTTCTTTAATTCACATAATTTTTCTGGTGTTGCATTTACTTCCATCTCAACTAAACAAACTTGAGATTGAATTTCATTATCCAGACAACTGTTTTCTCTTCTGGCAACATATGCTCTTGAAATAGCATCTGCTATCAGAAGTTCTTTTCCAGGTTTGTAGACCAAGTCTATTTCAAATTTTTGAATTTGCATTAACATTCGCTGAAGGCGTGCGGGGCATTTATTCAGGGTTTTTTTAAAAATGTTAATTAGCGGCAAATGGTCTGTTTCTACCGTTATTTTTTTTTCCAAAAATATATTGGTAAAATCTTTCTAATCCAAAACAAATTGCAAGGAGTTCCTTTTCGATTTGCGCGTATCGCATCTGTGTCTCTGTCATAGCTTTCGATGCATATGCACAAGGGAGTCTGTTTTGCAGAAGTACTGCACCTAACCCTGATTTTGAAGAGTCAACTGAAACAACTATTTCCTTTGTAACATCAAAAAATTGAAGTACTGGCTTTGTACTTAGTTTTTGCTTCAGTTTTCTGAATGCATTTTGTTGCTGTTCTTTCCATATAAATGTATTATCTTTTTTCAATAATTCCCTCAGTGGAGCTGTTTCACTTGAGAAATTTGGTAAAAATTTGCTAACATATGTTAGCATGCCTAGCAACCTTTGAACATCTGATTTGTCCTTTGGTTCAGGAATATCCTTAATTCCTTGAATTTAAGACTCACTAGGTGACACTCCCTCTTTGGAAATGATGTGTCCCATATATTCAATTTTATTCAGACCAAACTTGCATTTTGAAAGATTGAATTTTACCCCATTATCTTTAGCTATCTGTAGCACTCTTTTGAGTCTAGTGTCATGTTCAGCTCTTGAAGTACCCCATACCAGAATGTCGTCAATATACACATCAGTACCAGAGCCTGAGAATAAGCTTTTGAACCTTTCTTGGAACACCTCTGGTGCTGATTTAATGCCATATGGTAATCGTAGGAATTTATAGCGACCAAAAGGTGTTCCAAAGGTACAAAGGTCTGTACTCTCCTTGTCTAGTAAAATTTGGTAGAACCCATTGGTAGCATCTAGTTTGCTGAACATTATTGCACCTGTTAACCTACTTGTAATTTCCTCAATAGTGGGGATCTGAAAATATTCTCGTTTTATAACCTGATTGAGGTCCTTAGGATCTAAACAGATCCTTAGTTTGCCATTAGGCTTCCTGACCAGAACAAGTGCATTCACCCAGTCTGAAGGACCATTTACCTTCTCTATAACTTCAATTTTTTCTAATTCATCTAGACTTTCTTTCAAAGAACTTTGCAAGGGTAACGCCACTTTCCTGGTTGGTTGTACGACTGGTTGAGCTCCTGGCTCCAGAGTGATATGGTATGGTTTATTTTTGATACACCCTATTCCTGAAAATACATCATTAAACTCTTTTTGCAACTTTCCATATGCATCTGATTCATCATATACAGATTCAACCTTCATTATTAAATTTAGTTGACATGAAGAACTTAAACCTAAAATACATTCAGTATCAGAGTCAACAATATAAAAGGTAACAGGGTAACATTCGCTATTCTTTTCACAAGATAATGTACATTTACCAACCACATTCAAATTTTGTCCAGTATAGGATTTTAATTTTGTATTACTTGAAATTATTTCTGAAGGAGCTATTCCTAATTTCTCAACTATTTTGAGTGGTAACACATTTGCAATCTTAAAACTTATTAATGCATTTTTAATTTTTAATTCTGTACGCCACTGCTCGACAAAAATCTGAGCTACCACATCAATTGCTCCCACAAATAGATATTGATCTTCATCAATTGAATTTGCTGTGTCCTCTGACTCAATATTGTAAATTCTGTTTTTAAGTCTTTTAGAGCAAACAGTTGAAAAATGATTTTCAATTTGGCAAAAATTACATTTCTTCCCGAATGCAGGGCATTTGTTGATTTGATGGCTTTTGCCACATCTGGTACAGTTGTTAATAGTTCTGATGACTGACCTGTATTGAGAGTTAAACCCATTCTGTTGCTTCTTTTTTACCATGTCTACCAAACCTGTTGCATTGTCCATTGCCTGACATTCCTTCCTGGATTTTTCCATGACATAACAAATTTCCACAGTTTTTTCCAATGTTTGTGGATCATCCTGTAGGAGTTTTTCTCGAATTGCTGAGCTGGATACTCCGCAAATGATCATAGATTTGATCAAATCATCCTGGAGGTCCCCTAGGTTGCATTTCATGCCTCGTTTTTTGGTCTCCGTGATAAACTGCTCTATTGACTGTCCAGCTTCTCGTTTGTACGAGAAGAACTCATACCTTTGGTAATTTATGTTTTCCTTCGGTAGGAAATGCTCTTCGAATTTTGTTAGTAATTTATTCAGCTTATTTTTGTCCTCAGCTGGGATCGTGAAGGTTTGATAAATTTTAAACCCTTCCTCCCCTATGTAGTGTAGCAGCTGAGCGCATTGGGTAGCTTCGTCCTTCTTGATTACTTCGCTGGCCACCAGATAATTCTCGAAACGAGCACGCCATGTTTGCCAGTTTTCAGCTACGTTGCCCATCATGCACATGGAGCCAACGCCTCTACTGTCCCCCATC